AACCCTCTCCTGCAAAGCCATGGCCTGTTGCTGAAAATCGAACTTTTCGTGCTCGCAAGTTTTGTACGAAGCTTTAAGCTCAGATAATCTCTGATAAAACCGCCGTACCTCACGGCTTAGGTCCCCGTTCTCTTCGGTAATCAGTCGAGTATGCGTATCCGCATCTTGAATTCTCTTCTGTGCTTCGAAAAGTTCGTCTTGCATTTCTATTTTTTCCTCCACTGAGATTTCTATTTGGGCTTGATTCTTGTTCAACTCACCCAGAAGAGAATCAGTCCTCAACTTGTTCGCTGCCAATGATGCCGTCAAATTCTTAATGATTTCATCTTTATCACGGATCTCTCCCTGTTTTAAGTCCGTATTTCTTTCAAGTTCATCGAAACGATGTTTCAGCTTTGTAACCTCTGTGTTTAACCTTTTGGCTTTTGACCTTTCCTCTTCAAGCTCAGCTTTAAGGTCTGTGTTCAGCCTCAATGCGCTCTCAGCATCTCGCTGGTAATTGATAATTTTTCTTTGCATGTTTGCCATCTTCTCTTCGAGTTCATAATTGGCATCCTCAACATTCTGTAGTAGATCTTTTGCCTGAGACATTCTTCGTTCAGATGATGAAAGTTCTTCTCGTAAATCATCTCCCTCGCGAATTGCTGCTTCGAAACTGCTTTCTAATTGACTAATTTGTATCGAAGATTCTTCTAGCCTCTGTGTGAGCTGTTCTATATCATCTTGAGCATAGATGGGTTCCATGTTCAATCCTTCTCCTTCTTGCGCAGACATTTCTGATAATAGTTCAGCAATGGTGCCACGCAATTTTGAATTTTCCAATTCCAGCTCCGTGATTCTGTCTAGCGTCTCCTCATCAGTCTCTTTTGTGGTAAGCTCTTTAACGGGAGCAACCAAATAGTCTCTTTGATGGCCATAATCTTCCGCTTTCAAAGATTCCAAAACTGCAAGTAACTCATTAAATTTTGACTGAAACCAACTTAGCTCGGTTTCAACATCTGTACCTTTCTCTGCACGCGATTCAAAGGCCATTCTCCGTTGGGAAATCTGCCTATTCAGATCAGCAATTTTTGACACAAGGTCTCTATTGGCATTTTCAAGCTTTTCCACTTGTGTTTGTTTGCTCACAAGTTCTTCTTTATGGCTATCTGCTTGGTGCTGTATCTTGAGAACTTCCTTCTGTAGCAAAGAGTTCAGTTCTTTGCCTTCGCGAAGTTCGTCGCGTGATTCATTAAGCTGAGTCTTAAGGTTTTCTCTTTCCTTTCTTGCGTTCTGTAGCTGCATCTCCAATTTACATACCTGTAATCATGGATATCAATTAATTCATATGGACTGTAGAAATTCGATGAAATGATCAAATGCTTCTTAAAGTGATGTTTCTGTCTGCTGAGAAAATTTCGAACTCCAACAAGAATTAAATCCATGACCTCGAGAATCGATGGTTTAACCAACTAGGACGTTGAGCGCTGAGGCAGGTCAATTGTATTTTTGAAAACTTGTGTCGTAGGCTTCAGACCACTTGGTTAGGTAAAGAAACGGAAATGCCGAATCAAAAGCTCAAATCCTATTGAAGTCCTTAATTTTTCTCAGGTTTCATTTTAAAGTTGCGTGAAATAAGAAACAAAATCAGGGAAATTTTTTTTCTCTCTGCTCTGTTTACGATAGGACCAGAGCAACAAAGCTGCCTCTTTGCCTCGCAATACATTTTACCTCATGTAGGCTACCGCGAATTGTACTGTGCGCCTTACGTCATGCACACCAACCCATAATATACTATACCATCCTACACGCAGCATCTTGCCTGACATAATCGAACATGGTGGATATAGACTACAGACTGATGTAACTCACCTTGATGCTATAATTTTTGCTGCAACTCAAAAGTTCCTTCTGTGAGTTTTCATACTCTTCCTGCATTCCGACTAATTTGTCTTGTAACTCCATGAAATTGTTCTGAAAGACCTCGTGTTCCAGCAGTAAACCGTTATAACTTTCCTCCCAGTAGG